CGTCCGCCAGTCCCTGATCCCTGTCCCCCGCTCGGATCCGTGTCCCAGCTGCCGTCGGTGCCGCAGGGTCGGGTGGAGCTGCAGGAGCTGCTCCCAGTTCTCCCTGTTCCTGCTGCTCCTGCAGGTCCTGACGTTTTCCATGGCTCAGATCCAGCAGGGCCAGGCCTGGAGCTCACGGTGACTCAGCCCAGGAAAAGCTCCGTGGGGAGGGGATGGATCTCCTCCACCTTCCAGGGGAGAGCAGGAAGGATCCCGAGGGATTCCCAAGTTTGGGGGATCCTCCAAGGAATGTGGAGATGTTTGGGAAGGTCCTCGGGGGGTGGTGGCTGTGGACACAGGGGGAGAGATCCCAGGGAAGAGATGCTCAGATTCCCAGGGAATAGGTGCTCAGATTCCCAGGGAATAGGAGCTCAGATTCCTAGGGAGCAGGTGCTCAGATTCCCAGGGAATAAATGCTCATACTCCCAGGGAAGAGGAGCTCAGAATCCCAGGGAAAAGGTGCTCAGATTATCAGGGAAGAGATACTCAGATTCCTAGGGAAGAGATGCTCAAATTCCCAGGGAATAGGCACTGAGATTCCCTGGGAATAGATGCTCAGATTCCTAGGGAAGAGATGCTCTTATTTCCCTGAGAAAAGGTGTTCAGAATCCCAGGGAAGTGATGCTCAGCTCCCTAGGGAATTCCTGCCCCTGCTCTCCCTGGATTTCCAGCCTGCTCCAGGCAGGTTTTGCTCCCACTCCAGTTCTCCTGAGGCTCTGAAGCAGGGAAGGAGCAGGGTGGGATTCACACCCCATTCCATGGATTCTTGGGATGCCTCCTGAAATCCCTCCCAGGGAAAGGCACCGAAGGACCCTTAAAGGAGCTCAACAGCGAAGAAATCCATAGGGATCCATCCCACAGGGAATGTGGGGCATTCCAGCAGGCTTAAACGGGCAGGGAAGGAGCTGCTCCAGGGATATCCTGAGTTTGGATCCTTCCCTGGAATCGGGAAGGATCCCTGGGTGGATTTGTGTTGTCACTTTTTTCCTTTGGATTTCTCCCCCAGAATTCCCAAGGATTTGTCTCTTCCTAAGCTTCCATTCCTGGAGCTGAGCTGATTCCTGCCCCTGGGATAGATGGAGTTCCACAGTTCCAAACTCCAGAGCCAAGAGAGAAGAAGCCACCAGGGAATAACAGCCACAGCATGGAAAAAACCTGGGAAAAATCCCGATTAAAACCCCCAATCCACATTTTTTTCCCATGAGGAGGATCCTCCAGGTAAATCCTGGTGGAATTCCTAGTCCATTCCAGCCACAAAGGAGGAAGGAAAACATTTCCTGTATCCCCCAATTGGAGCTTGGAATTTCC